ATTCACCATCCCCCCGGGGGTATGGCAGAAGTAACAATTTCCCCCTTTTCCCCGGGGGGGGGTACTGGCAGAAGTAACAAAATTCACCATTTTCCTGGGGTACTGGCAGAAGTAACAATTTCATATCTTCCGGGGTATGGCAGAATAACAATTCCCCATTCCCCGGGGGGTATGGCAGAAGTAAAAACTTTCACCTTTTTCCCGGGGCACGGGCAGAAGTAAACTTACCATTTCCCCGGGGTACGGGCAGAAGTAAAATTTTCACTTTCCCGGGGTCTGGCGAAGTAACTAAAATTCCCATCTCCCCGGGGTACTGACAGAAGTAACAACTTTTCACCATTTTCCCCGGGGTATGAGAAGTAACAAAATTCCCCACCCCCCGGGGTACTGGCGAAGTAAAACATTCCATTTCCGGGGGGTCTGGCAGAAGTAAAAACATTCACCATCTTCCCGGGGGTATGGCAGAAGTAAACTTTCACCATCCCCGGGGGGGGTCTAGCAGAAGTAACAACATTCACCATTTCCCCCGGGGTTTATGGCAGAGTAACAACTTTCACCATCTTCCGGGGGGGGTTTACGGCAAAAAGTAACAATTCAATTTCCCGGGGTATGGAGAAGTAAAACATTCACCATTTTCCCCGGGGGGTCTGGAAAGAAGTAACAACATTCACCATCTTCCCGGGTTGGGCAGAAGAAACAACACCCCCCCTTTTCCCCAGGGTACTGCAAAAATTTAACAACATTCCCCCTTTTCCGGGTACTGGAAAAGTAACAAATTCACCATTTTTCCGGGGGGGGTATGGCAAAAAAAGTAAAAATACCCCCTTTTTCCCCGGGGTATGGCGAAGAAACACCATTCACCTCTTCCGGGGTTTTATGGCAGAAGTAAAATTTCACCATCTTCCCGGGTATGGCAGAAGTAACAACATTCCCCATCTTCCCGGGGTACGGGCAAAAAGTAAAACTTTTCACCTTTTCCCGGGGTACTGGCAGAATAAAACATTCACCTTTTTCCCCGGGGGGGGGTACTGGCGAAGTAACAACTTTTCCCCATTTCCCAGGGTATGGCAGAAGTAACAACATTCCCATCTTCCGGGGTCTGGAAAAGTAAAAAAAATTTCCCCATCTTCCGGGGGTACTGGCAGAAGTAACAATATTCACCTTTTCCCAGGGTAGAAGAAGTAACAAATTCACCATCTTCCGGGGGTAGGGGCGAAGTAAAACATTCCCATTTCCGGGGTAATGGCAAAAGAAACAACATTCCCCAACTTCCTGGGGTACTGGCAAAAGTAACAACATTCACCTTCTTCCCGCGGTACTGGAGAAGTAAACAACATTCACCTTTCCAGGGCTGCAAAAGTAAACATTCACCTTTTCCCCGGGGGTAGGGCAGAAGTAAAAAAACATTCCCCCATTTTCCCGGGGTATGCAGAAGTAAAAATTCACCATCTTCCCGGGTACTGACAGAAGTAACAACTTCACCATCTTCCCGGGGGGGTACGGGCAGAAGTAACAACATTCCCCATTTTCCCCCAGGGTAGGGCAAAAGTAAAAATTCACCTCTCCCCGGGGGTTACTAGAGAAGTAAAAAACTTTTCCCCATCTTCCCCCGGGTATGGCAGAAAAAAAACATTCACCTCTTCCCCGGGGTACTGGCGAAGTAAAAAACATTCACCATCTTCCCGGGGGGTATGGGGAAACAATTTCACCTTTCCGGGGGTACTGGCAGAAGAAACACCATTCACCATTTTCCCCGGGGGTACTGGCGAAGAAAACAACATTCCCTCTTCCCGGGTACTGGCAGAAGAAAAAAATTTCCCCTCTTCCCCGGGGTACTGGCAAAAGTAACAACATTCACCATTTCCCGGGGTACGGGGCAGAAATTTAAAACATTCCCCAAATCTTCCGGGGGGTACGGCAAAAGTAAAAATTCACCATTTTCCGGGGGCGGGCAAAAAAAGTAACAACATTCCCTCTTCCGGGTAGGCAGAAGTAAAACATTCACCTCTTCCCGGGGGGGTACTGGAGAAGAAACAATATTCCATTTCCCAGGGTCTGACGAAGTAACAACTTTCACCTTCTTTGGGGTCTGGCAGAAGGTAACAACTTTTCACCATCTTCCCCCGGGGTATGGCAAAAGTAACAATTTCACATTTCCGGGGGTAGGGCGAAGTAAAACTTTCACCATTTTCCCCGGGGGGTACTGGGAAGTAAAAACTTCACCATCTTCCCGGGGTATGGCAGAAGTAACAACTTTCCCCATCTCCCCGGGGTATGGCGAAGTAGCAACTTTCCCCCATCCCCCGGGGTTGGCGAAGTAAAACTTCACCATTTTCCCCGGGGGGTAGGGCAAAAAGTAACAACATTCCCCATCTTCCCAGGGACTGACAAAAAGTAAAAAATTCACCATTTTCCCCGGGGTCTGGAAAAGTAACAACTTTCCCCATTTCCGGGGTCGGGGAAAGTAAAACATTCACCTTTTCCCAGGGTACGGGACAGAAGTAAACAAATTACCTTTTCCCCGGGGTACGGGCAGAAGAAAAAAACCCACCGTCATTCACGATCGCTCTCTTGTTCACTTTTTAAATTTTACCAAAGTTTATACCCAAAAAAAATACGGGGAAAACCCCCCCAAAAAAAACACTCAAAATCGATAAAAAAGTGCTATAAACACTACAGAACTGCTACAAAAATAAATAACATTTCAAAATGAAAAAAATATTTTTGCTTAATTTTAAGTTTGTACTCAGTCAATTGTGTGTGAGGGACCGACCCAGTGTTAGTTTGTTACTCAGTAAAAGGTGTGAGGACCCCTCAGGTTGTTTTTACTCGCAACTGTGTGTGAGGTCTGACTCTGAAATGTTGTTTTTACTCGTAATTGGGGGGTGGGTACTGACTCCAGTGTTGTTTGTACTCGTAAAATGTGTGTGAGGTACCGACTCCGTGTTGTTTGTACTCGTAATGTGTGTGAGGTACTGACTCCTGCAGGTTTGTTTGTACTCAGTACTTTTGGGTGGGTACCGACCCCCGGTAGTTTGACTCGTCAAACTGTGTGTGAGGTACCCACTCTGCAGTGTTAGTTTGTATCAGTCAAAAAGTGTGTGAGGTACTGACTCCTCAGTGTTAGTTTGTACTCAGTAACTGTGTGTGAGGTACGTCCGCGTGTTAGTTTGTCTCAGTCAATGTGTGTGAGGTTGCTCCTGCCCCTGTTAGTTTGTTCGTAACGTGTGTGAGGGTATACTCCTGCAGTGTTTGTTTTTTCTCAGTCAACTTGTGTGTGGGGATGACTCCCGCAGTGTTGTTTTATCAGTAAAAATGTGTGTGAGGTATGACTCCCCAGGTTTGTTTGTACTCGTCAACTGGTGTGAGGTACTGACTCCCGCGTGTTAGTTTTACTCAGTCAACTGTTTGTGAGGTACTGATCTGCAGTGTTTGTTTGTACTCGTCAAAATGGTGTGAGGTACTGACTCCTGCAGTGTTGTTTTTACTCGTAACTGTGTGTGAGGTATGATCCTGCAGTGTTGTTTGTCTCAGTCAACTGTGTGTGTGGTACTGATCCCGCCCAGTGTTGTTTTGCTCAGTAACTGTGTGTGAGGTATGATCCTGCATGTTAGTTTGTATCAGTCAACTGTGTGTGAGGTATGACTCCTGCAGTTTAGTTTTTACCCGTCAACTGTGTGTGAGGTACTGACTCCGCGTGTTAGTTTGTATCAGTCAATGTGTGTAGGTACTGCTTCTGCGTGTTAGTTTGTACCCGTCAAATGTTGTGAGGTATGACTTCTGAGTGTTAGTTTGTACTGTCACTGTGTGAGGTAAGATCCGCAGTTTGTTTGCACTCAAATGTGTGTGGGTACTGACACCTGCAGTCTTGTTTGTATAACGTGGTGAGGTACTGATCCTGCGTCTTAGTTTGTACTCAAATGTGTGTAGGTCTGACCCTGCAGTCTTTGTTTGTACTCAACTGTGTGTGAGGTACTGCACCTGCAGTCTTAGTTTTACTCAAACTTTGTGAGGTACTGACACCTGCGGGCTTAGTTTGTATCAATGGGTGGGTACTGACTCCTGTGGGTTGATTTCAGTAGTTAGACTATGGAACGAATTCTTCCCAGGCTGAGGGACTGCAAATCAATTTGTTTCCTGGGGTGTGGATGATTACTCGTCTTCCATCTCTCTGTTCTGCCTACTTTCTTACTGACGAATAAGACTGTGTAGGCGAAACATTTCGGAATAAAATTGTTAAACCCTTGCCCGTGTCTTACCTACCACAAGTTTTTCCCCGGTACCCCAACACAAAGTTTTCCCCAAGGTACTACCCAATGGGTTTTTTCCACAGGTACTGGCACCTTTGGTCGGGTAGTCGGGGTGCAAAGGTGACGTCCCGTACCTGCCTGAAGTCCCAGCCTCAGTGACGTCATAGGCTCAAGCAGATAGAACATGTCAGAAAAGAGAAGAACATCCTAGTTGGTCACTCACCCCCTTTTTCATAGACATGTTGTATCACCCCCCTCACTCCTCTCTCTTTTATATTAAATTATTTATTATTAAAGAACCCCGTATCAGCGACTTGGTTTTTGCGGTTTCGTTATCTCGTTTTAAACAGAAAAAAAAAAGGGGGGCGTTTACATTTTATTTTTTTTTTTTTTCGTTGTTTCATTAATTTTTTCACTGAATAAGAGTTCTAAAAAGGTTTTTCAGCAAACGGCCCCATACTGGTACTGCAAAAGTTTTCTTTACCAGCGCGTTTATCACGGCGCTGTAGCAGCGTTTATCCGAAACAGCTGTAGCAGCAATTTACCGAGAGCTGTAGGCGCTTTATCAAGAGCAGCGTAGCGCAGCTTTATCCGAGCAGCTGTAGCGCAGCTTCTCACGAGCAGCTGTAGCAGCAGCTTAAACGAGCAGCTGTTTGCAGCGCTTTTATCACGAGCGCTGTAGCAGCAGTTTTCACGAGGCTGTAGCAGCGTTCATCACGAGCAGCGTTAGCGCAGCTTCTCAGATCAAACTGTAGCAGCAGCTTTCAAGAGAGCTGTAGCAGGCTTTATCAAGAGCAGCTGTAGCAGCAGTTTATCAAGAGCAGCGTGAGCAGCTTTATCAAGAGCCTGACGAGCTTTATCAAAAGAAAGGGAACGCAACTTCATCACGAGGCTGTGCAGCGCTGTGCAGCAGCTTTTTTCAAGGCAGCTGTGCAGCGCTTTATCAAAAGCAGCTGTAGCAGCAGCTTCATCACGACGCTGTAGCAGCAGCTTTATCAGAGCGCTGTAGCAGCAGCTTTTTTCCGAGAGATCTAGCGCAGCTTTTAAGAGCAGCTGTCAGCGCTTTATCACGAGCAGCTGTAGCAGCAGCTTTTCCGAGCAGATCTAGCAGCAGCTTTATCAGAGCAGTGTGCGCGCTTTATACGAGCGCGTGCAGCAGCTTTTTCACGAGCAGCTGTAGCAGCAGTTTAACGGCAGCTTAGCAGCAGCTTTATCAAGGCAGCTGTGCAGCAGCTTTATCAAGAGGCTGTAGCAGCCTTTATCAGAGCAGCTGTAGCAGAGCTTTATTTAAGAGCAGCTGTTGCGCGCTTTTCACGAGCAGCTGTAGGCAGCTTTTCAGAGCAGCTGTAGCAGCAGCTTTATCAGAGCAGCTGTAGCAGCAGCTTTATCAAGAGCAGCTGTAGCAGCAGCTTTATCACGAGCAGCTGTAGCAGCAGCTTTATCAAGAGCAGCTGTAGCAGCAGCTTTATCACGAGCAGCTGTAGCAGCAGCTTCATCCGACGCTGTAGCAGCGCTTTTTTACGAGCAGCTTAGCAGCGCTTTATCAAGAGCAGCTGTAGGCAGCTTTTTCGAGCAGTTAGCAGAGCTTTATAAAGCAGCTGTAGCAGCAGCTTTATCAAGAGCAGCTGTAGCAGCAGCTTTATCAAGAGCAGCTCTAGCAGCAGCTTTATCACGAGCAAACTGTAAACAGCGTTTTTCAAGAGCGCCTTTGCGCAGCTTTATCCGAGCAGTGTGCAGCAGTTTTTTAAGAGGCCTAGCAGCAGCTTTTTTAAAAGGGAGCTTAGCAGCGCTTTATCAAAAGAGGGTCTAGCCAGCTTTTCAGGCGCTGTAGCAGGCTTTATTAAGAGCGCCTAGCAGCAGTTTATTAAAAGGAGCTCTAGCAGCAGCTTCAAGAGAGTGTTTGCAGAGCTTTATCACGGAGCTGTAGCAGGCTTTAAAAGGGAGGGGTAGCAGCCTTTATCGAGAGCTCTGCAGCGCTTTATCAAGGCAGCGTAGAGCAGCTTTATCAGAGCAGCTGTAGCGCAGCTTTTCACGAGCAGCTGTTGCAGGCTTTTTCACGACAGCTGTAGCAGCAGTTTTTTAAGGCAGCTGTTTAGCAGCGCTTATCAAGAGCAGCTGTAGCAGCAGCTTTTCAAGAGCGCTGTAGCGCGCTTTTTTCACGAGAGCTGTAGAGCAGCTTTATCACGGAGCTGTAGCAGCAGCTTTATCAAGAGCAGCTTGCAGCAGCTTTATCAAGAGCAGCTCTGCAGGCTTTATCACGAGAAGCTGTAGCAGCAGCTTATCAAGACGTGTGCAGCGCTTTTTCACGAGCGCTGTAGCAGCGCTTCAAGAGCAGCTTAGCAGCAGCTTTATCACGGCAGTGTGCGCGCTTCATCAAGAGCAGCTGTAGCAGCAGCTTAAAGCAGTGTGCGCGCTGTAGCAGAGCTGTACCCACCCTACAACCTCCGATTTTGGGATATTTTTTGATTACGTTTTGTAATTTGGAGGAAAAAGTTGTGCATTATTTTGGGATGCCCAAAATGTGCTGTGTAGGAAAAAATTTTGGAACATTTAATAACAGAAAGCATCAAAAATTTCATCTCCAGTAAAACTAATGTGATTACATTATGAGCAACATTTTGACGAGTTACACTAGAAAATGTGAAATCAAACCATTACTGTCCCAAAAATTTACAATGTGAAATATCCGTCAATGTTCTCGCATAACCAATTGTCCCCTTTAAAAAATGCCCCAAAAAAGAATATGGGTTTAAATTGGTATAAATACTGGGCAAGTTGTAAGTGAAAGTCAAAAGTTTGGTTTGTTTGTTATTGTTGAAACGTTTTTTTTCCTTTGGTAGGCTTCAGGAGAATGTATTATAGGCAGCGAACTAGGGCAAGATTCCCCCCTCACCCTTTAAAAGTATTTAAAATCCATTTCATGCTTAGTTCATACTGTTCCCGACGAAGAGCTGAACCCTTCACCTATCTTTACTCACCCTTACTGTTGCCCACAATACATTTCCTTGAATTTGATGATGAACCTACCATGTAGGCGAAGCATTTTTCAAAAAGGTACTCAATTTCTGCACTCTCACTCATTAAGAAATCGTGTTCTCCTTAACAACCCCATTGCCAAACAGTTTTCCAAAATCTCCCAATTTTTTAACTCAACATATCCCCCTGCCTCGGTTGCAGTTGCAAAAACCAACAAAACAGAAAAAAACACTGGTAAAGTAGAATCCTTTTAAAGCAATGTTTTTTCCCAAAACTGTGCTTTATTAAGTATACAAGGATAAGGGAAATTCACTTTTAAAGCAAATGAGGGACCATGAGGTCAGGCTCTGAGAAAGACGGTCAATGTGAGGGCAAAAAATTTTAAAGATTAGGTTAAAACATTGAACAGTTTATTTAGCCCCATCCTACTTTTCTATACCTGACCTCGCTTGACTTTATTTAAAAAATTTTGTGACCTATTTGCTTTATAAGGTGATTTTATTCATTATTATTGTATATTTTATAGAGGTGCATTGGGTGAAATGTATTAAAAAAAAAGAAAAAACAGGTACCGTGCTTTATTGCCTCACTGCCTCTGCTGCCATCAAAGACATCTCAGACAGAAATACCAGGAAACTCATTCAATCCAGAGATCTCCACAAACTCATATCAGAGACCAAAATGTCGGAGATTGAAAAACCCTTTAAAGCTAGTGGGGAAAACTCAGTAAATTTAATACAGTACTAGAAAGGTTCATTATTGTTGTCAGTGAAGCATCAGAAAAGAAAAGTTTTAATCTGCACTCTTAAACATCTCCAGCAACTCAACCTGAGTAACTGTTTCACAGCTTGGCGAGTATCTTGCAGAAAAAAATACCCGGAAACTTGAGAATCAATATAACGTGCGGCATCACATTGCTCTTCACCTTACTGTGCTCACCCCTTTACTAGGTTTATCGCAGTGATGGAGTCTGCTGCATGGGAAAACACATCAGTAAATGTTGTTATTTGTTGCAATATTGGTACTTGTTTTTTTTTGTTGTTTTTTGTTGTAGGGGCGGGTACTTCAGTTATCCCTTGCTGAAAACCGTTCGTTGTTTGAAACTTTTTTTTCCCCCTTTCATTGTCTTACCTTACTTGTTTCAGGTATGGGATCCCGAGATGACGCTTCCTTTACTGTTGTTTTTTAGTATGTCTGTGGTGGGGGAACTTTTGTTACCTTTGAAATGTGGCAAATTTCCTATGACAAAAAGGTGGTGGTGGGTATCTGTATAGTGATTTTGTGGATATATTGTTCGTGTAGTGTTAGCATGCGTGTACTGTTATAGTGATTGCAGTATTGTTTACTAGTTGTGAGAGTGCTAAACCCCTTGTCATACAGGTTTCATGTGGGTGGGTTTTGGGATAGAACCCCGGATGGTGTTCTGTAGCTCGATCGCTAGTGCATCAGCTCAACCCTAAGGTCCGGGGGTTTTTAAACTCCGGTATGGTGAATAACATTAGGACGTGTTTTTATAAGAACCTGTTGTCCCTGTTCACCATCAGAATAAAATGAGTACTGGGGTGTTAGTGGACTGGTGTGGGTCTATCCTGGGACAAAATTGACCCAATTTGCCCAAAATGCTCTGCTAACAAGGGCTTTTTTTATTAATAATAATAAAATACGTATTAATCCATTCCAGAGAGCTCATCGATGCCAAATTATCAGAAGGCGAATTAAATTTTTCCCAAAAAAATAAAGGAAATATATTAATCGTGCAAGACGCCCAAAAGTGTGAAAAAAAAAAATTTTTCCAATGAAAAAAATTAAGTTTAAACCCCAAAGGTCCAAAGTTATATTACGTTTTTTCCATTTGAAAGTATGTAAAAAAGTAGATCTTCTTTTGTTGTTTTTTAATTTGAAAAAAGTTTTTAAAAAAATTTGATTTACTTTTTTTTTGTTTTATTTGAAAATATTAAAAAAACGAGATCTTTTTTGTAGCACTACCATGTGAACGTAGATTGCTTGGCCGTTTACGGGTTAATGCACACAAACTGAAGAAGACATGCACAGTTTGTAGTACTCTACAACAATAGAAAACATGACATTACCTTTTTTGAAGATTGGGATGATTGATGGGGGGAGGAGGGGAGAGTGTGGAACTTATTGTTTAGAAGGGGAATCCCCCTTTTTAGCACTTGAGGTAAAATCCCTTTTGGGGTTTCCTCCCCTTTTTCTTTTAAAAGCACTAGGACCCTTCAGAGTCACTGGCTTCTGTTGCACAAATATCGTCCCCTAGAGGCCTGTACCTCCGGTCCTTTTTGCTTTTTAAGTGGTTAAAACAGCATTGTTTCACCCCGGAAAGGGTTGCAAAAGCGTGTCAGGGTGATTTTCCCCTCCCTAAAGGTTTTCACCTTTGTCCCCATTGACACATTTTTTTAAATTTGTGAAGCAGGCAAATTTTCCTCAATTTCTCTTCCCCCCCTCCGAAGCAGTTTTTCCCCAGGGTTGGCCTCTTGCTGTTGAAGTGATCTAGCAGTCTCAGTGGTTTGTTTGTTTTGCCTCCTCCACCAATCTCACATCCTCCCCCCTAAACCAACCCAAGGACTTCCCAATGCTACAATGGTTTTCCCCAACTGTCATAGGATTCCCGGGGTTTGCTCAAAAACCCCTTAAAAAACCCCTTTTTTCTACACATTTGGCCACAGTTTCTTCGAAGCAGAGTTCAAAGGGCCTTTAGTCACTCCCTTCCAAGCCCCACCTTAAGGTTTACACAAAGGGAGGATATTAAAGTGTCCCTTCAAAATTTAGAGTCAATCGATTGTTGTTGTCCTTCAAAGCACTTTTTTAAACATGGCTTTTTTTGTACAGTTTCTTGAAGTTGGAAATGACCCGTGGTCCAGGGCTGCAGGGGAAGGGGGTGGATTAGG